ATATATATATATATATATATATATATGTTTTGCAACACAGAATAAATCAATGTTAATCGTTGACTCTTATGCACATTTTATTGTATTTTATTTTTAGTCATATTCGATAACTGTCCAGAAGATGACGTCGTGGTCAATAACACTGATGAATTTCCATATGTGTATACTATTCCAGTGATTACAGCAACTGTTAATTCCACTGGGGTAGCAGCAGCCGTTAATTTAACGTCATTACCGTCGTATACTTTAGGTGATAATGTGTCATTTCCAGCAGACACTGCTGATATTTTTGAATATACGGCAACAGCGAGCGGCGAAGAAACAATATTTTGCATATTTATCCTGTATATATATGGTGAGTTTTACTCAAACATTGAATTTGAATGATAAACCATCCTTGATTGCCATGCAATGAGATAATCTGGGATAATATAAATATAATTTTATGACTGGTCAGAGAGTTTAACTCAGTTAAATTGGTGGTATCTACTTAGTGTATTATAGATTATGGAGAGCCCTTAACTATTTTGGCCATGTTTCAATTTGATAATAAAATAAAAGTTTCCATAGTGCAACGTCTTTTGGAAATTACTTTTAACGCTGTTGGTTCAGTGTACAATGCCAAGCGCATGTTAGGGAGCTAAGTAGGCAAACACTCTTCAGAGCATAGCAGGGGATTAACAGAAAGACCCACTATAAAAAAGTTTTTGTATCTCAGTACAATATTTCAAGTACTGAGAAGATGATTGCAACACTATGCGCTTTAAAATGTTTCTGAATGTTTGTTAGGATTACCATGGCTTCTAAAAAAAAAGGTGAATGTAAACTGCAATAGCGTCTGTGTGTGGGGCTGCATGTGTGTCTGTGTCATTCCAGACGCATCACTGCATCAATTTACTTCAAATTTGACACACTGACAATAGTACTTTTATTTTGGTCCTCTTTGAAAGTACGATGCAGATTTTAGAATGTTATTTATATATTTCCCGGCCGCAAAAAACAGAGCCAAACCAAGCGGATCGTTCGACCGAGTCGTTTAGCTATAGGCTTAGCCGACTCGAGTGGATCGACCACAGGCCAGAGTAGGTGTGTCAAATTCTGGCCGGCGGACTGGAAGAAGCAAACATATATAAAATATTATAAACATATGTTTATAACATAAATTACATTATGCACATGGTTTAACTCGACAGTATACACACTCGTTTATATCCATCTTATGTCTAGAAAACATGTTACGCCTTCATTTATATCGATATCATTAAGAAAAAATAATTGGAACTAATGTGCCTAGTTTTGCCTTGATTACATCAAATTTGAAAATCATTTTAAAAAAATTGAATTACAATACAGATAGATCAAGAGCTAGCAACAGAAGGTCTCGCCTCAATTTTTCCAGAAGGTTTGATCCCCAAAGTATTTGTTAAACCATTATTTTTTTAGTCTAATCTCAGACCCCGAAAACACCAACAGGTTAATTTCCACCCATCTAGGACGTAAATAGAAATAAGTATCACAACAAAGTATTTTAAGTCCACATTAAACTACCTAAATCCCCTCCTTTAATGTGACGGTCGTAAGAGCACCAGGTGTTATGATACCAGTCAGCACTTCTTTATTCAGATTGTCTTCACAGCTATGTATTTATTGTGCAGTTATTTTATAGTATGCAACAAATAGCGATGACAACAACAACAGAAACATGTATATAGATAGATAGGCAATATACAACTTCCTGTTCCTGATATTATTCATTGCAGACACTGCGGATCCAAATATTTACGATTGTCCACACGATACTACAGTAAACACTACATTCCGCCTACCCACTGCTAATGTTTCTTGGAACGAACCATTCGCTGAGGACAATTCTGGTACAGTAAACCTTACTGTTGATATTGAACCAGCCAGTATATTCCAAATAGGTGACACTTTAGTAACATACATCGCGGAAGATCCAAGTGGAAATACTGATATGTGCTCATTTACACTCACTGTTCAAGGTAAGCAAATTGAGCAAACCTAATGATACACATTGTAAAATCGATGTATTGTTATTATTCGTTATAAATGCATGTTGCAAAGATGTTAATACACGTATTGTTTATATAATATATTAGGTGAATTTAATAACGTTTATAGGTAAAATTTGCTAACAATAATGGTAAAGGACTGATCAATTTTGATTAAGCATTCTCTTTTTATATGTAATACTGCTTTCAAGCATAACGTTTCTTATAATACTACACACGTAAGTTGGTAAAAGGATTGGACGCATGGTAAACAATGAAAAGTTACTAAACCATTTTTTGCCAGATTGATTATGTTATTAATTTGTCGACTAAGTTAAAAGTGAATTTGAATGATGCTCGGTCATGGTGGTCCTATTCTGACTGTCGTATTGTGATATATCTGTCTCTTATACACATCTAGATGTGTATAAGAGACAGATATATAACAGTACTGTAACAACATTACCCATATTACAAATATATGTATCTGTATTGTTTGGTCGGTAAATTGCTTATCAACATATCACACCAACATTTCGAACTCAGACACGCATGGAGTGGTCAGATTTTTGGTTACTGGGTTAATATTAAATTCTTTTTTTTTTTCATTTCATGCATTTATTTGTTATCTTATTTTTGGTTTCTTTTATTTTATTTTTGGTTTCGTTTTGTTAAGTATTTGTCCACAAGTAGGCCCTATTTTAAAAGTGTTTATGATTCCTGCGTCAATGTCTCCAGTCGATATCTTGTTCCATTGTTTTAATTGTTGAGGGGAAGTACGAATATTTGTAAATGTTTGTTCGCAACATTTTGTTCCAAGTACTTTTTATGGTGACCTCTTGTCTTGTGTGTGGTCTTGGTAAGATGTTGGTTTGCCTGAATTCCGATGTTCCTTTAACAATTTGTTTGCCTTTCTGCTAGGCTTTCCCATTTCAGATCGGATAGGAGTTCAGTAATAGTACCTGGATCCCTCTTATAATTGTTTTTACAGAACCGAGCCGCCCCTCTCTGGATTCGTTCTGACTTGTTAATATTTATGTGTGTTGATCCCAAGAAGCGGCTGCGTATTCTAGATGAGATCTTACTAAAGATTTGTAGGCTGTAGTTTTGATGTTTTCTGGGCAGTTCGATAGGTTTCGTCTAATTATGCTTAATATTTTGTTGTGGCTGTTCCTACATGTTGGTTCCATCTAATTTAAGTTTGCTGGTCAGTTGGACTCGAAGGTACGGATGTGAGTCTGTACAATTTTATTTGGTTCCGTAGAATTCGTATTCTCGTTTTGGTTCACGTTTATTCCCGAAAGTGATTGTGTAACACTTTGTCGGGTTAAACTGCATTAGCCAGGTATTTTGTTTTAGATCATTCTGTAAGGTTAAAACATCAGAGTGTGTTTTGATGGGGTTGTATAACCTACCAAGCAGTCATCAGCTAACAATCGAGTCTGAGAGTTCAGATTGTCTAGAAGATCGTTGATGTATAACAGGAATAGCAAAGACCCCAAAACTGTTCCTTGTGACACACCGGTGAAGACTTCTCGGGTGTGTCACTTGTTCCTTGTGACTGCTGCTGGAGAAGACTTCTCGCTTCTACAACACACTGTTGCCTAACTACAAGGAAGTGGTTCTGTAGTATTGAAATTTGTATAAATATCTTTTATGAGATACTTTATCGAATGCTTTGGCAAAGTCTAAAATAACGCAGTCGACAGTTTTTGCAATGTCATCCAAGGTAAGAATTAATTGCGTTTCTGTAGATTGTTTTGCTCTAAAGCCATGCTAAACGTTGTTAAGGATATTGTTGATAACTAACAATAAATAAAGATAACGCATAAATAAACAAACACTGAGTTCTTTATCACTGACCTCAGGTCAAATCAACATAAACATTACCAAATTCATTTTTTTAAAAGCAATAAACCACTATCAAGCTCCTTTCTCATATTCTTATTAGGAGCGCCTTTCTTTGTCAAACTATCTGCCATTTGTGTTTTAGTGTCACACCATTGAACTGATTTATTTGCTTAGCCTCAAATAACTCCTTTATACCACTCATATCTAATTTTCAGTGACACTTTTCTCAGACTTAACAGCATCAATTAAATCAGTACAGCATGTTATCGGATATTTATTTCCTCAATAAAGTACACTAGCAAATGCTACTATCAATTCCATCAGCCATTGCCAATGTTTATGCAGACAAATTACTTCTTACTACTCGTCTTGTCTTTTTTGGAATTCCACCATAAGGGTGATTTTTTTCCGGCTTCACCAACCAAAAAGATTGTAAAACCCCTTGAACCATTCGGCACATTATTACCCAAAGCAGCATCACTAAACATGACCATTTTTGTAAATCTTTCTCACTATCACCAAGGTTTTGATATTTAAGAGTCAATTTAGTTGACTTGGCCTTTCCAACTATCTTATTATTAACTTCCATAATATCATGAACAGCACAATTGTTAACATTGTTAGCAACCTTTGTGATATATAAAAAAATAATTATCTGGTCGACTTTGATGCGACAAACATAATAATTGTCCCAACTTATATCTCAAATTATGGCAATTATTTCTAAAAATGTGTTAGTACCGCTTCAGATAAAATCATCAACATGACAGGCCAAAATTTCATAAACCTGTTGATTTTATAATTTATCCAGTAAAATACAGCAAGATCAACTTTAGAAATCCTTGCTCAAGATTCAATCATAAATTTAGAGATTCTGGGTGACTTAGTACAAGTATTTTTATTTTCATTACAACCATTAATGTTATTGTTTGCCTCATTACGAGATTTAGTGTGCAGATTTTCACCATCATTGTTTACATGCCCAATTGATTCAAAACCTATCATGAACAATTGAAGCAAAAATGAAAGAAAATGCTGAGAAACGGAGAAACTTCCAGCATTATGTGTTAAAATTGGAGACGATGTCTTGATAAAGAATATTAAGAAAGGAAAATCTAAAATGAGTACCTATGTTGATCGATTTAAAGTGATTGACATTAAGGGTGATATGGTCATCGCTAAATTTAAAGAGGTAAAGAGATAAAGGCGAGAAATATAGACCACTTTAAAAAGATAGTGAAATCTAAACAGTATAGTCATAAGAAACAGGCTAAACCTACATTTGCCAGTAGACCAAAATGAGTGGTGAAACCACCCAAACAGTTGGATTTGTAAGCAAGTATCAAATGACGCTCCTTTGTTGAGTTATAGTGTTTTGAGTAGATAGTGTATTTTATGTTTAAAAAAATAAACAATTAATATATATTTTTCAAAAACAACACAACAGATCGTATCTTCATCATAGGCGAAGCCTGTATTTAATCCAATATGTTATGGCCTTAACGGCCCCAATAAGACATGTTTCGGCAGTCTACTACCATCGTCAGTTATGCACGCAGGCAATCATTAATATAGGGGAGTAAAAATTCAATGCTATGGATGCTAAAAATTGTGGAATGAACCGTAACAGTACTACAAAGCAAAATATAAATAAAGATAAGGTAAAATCAGAGTGCAGTATTTATGCCACAAAGGGGAGAATGGAATGAATTTAGAATGACAAAGATAAATTAACATGAAGAAGCTGTTTGTTCAGTGAGAGAGGTTCCCACTGAATATGCAAGGCTTCTTTGATTTTTAGAATTTGGGTTGTAGAAGCGGAGTCCAGTATCGAGAAACAGTCCTCATTGACTGATTGTTTACAGTGACGTGAACTTTTCAGATGCTTTAATATATGCGAGTTCCCATCCAGTGTTAGGTGCTCACGCATGCGTGTAGAGAAATGTCGGCTTGTTTCGCCAACGTAACAAGCATTACAGCCTGCACATACAAATTTGTAAACGACACGCGAACGGAGACCAACTGGGATGGGATCTTTAGCTGAAAACAAATGTTTTATTTTAAATGAGGAAAATACAATTTTTAAATTTAAGTCATCACAGAATTCATTCGATAAGGCACGGATTTTCTTACTAAGGACTTTGGAAAATGTGCCGACATAAGGTAATTTGAAATAAAAATTGATTGGTGTATTTTCTTTAGTATTATCCAGTGTACTTTTGCATTTACATTGAACTGAATTAACATAACGAAAAATAATTTGATCAATGAGGTATGAAGGATGGTAGTTAATGCTTTGGTATCATAATGAAAGCCCCTCCAACTATTATTGATTTTAAAAGCCCTATCAACTAACGTGCGAAAAAGACCGATTTTGTAACTGAACGAACAAAAACTGAAAAAATTTGTAATTAATATATATATATATATATATATATATACATATATATATATATCATTGTAGATCCATGTGTGTTCTTCAAATTATATAATCTGTCTACATCACTATTGCATTGTTTATATTGTAAAGTATACAACTTGCAACAGCCAATCTTGTGCATTCTGTAAAGCTGATGAAGGCCAGAGGACTGGCCGAAAATTTCTTTCGAAAAAAAATACAGTGTTCAACAGTCTACATGCCTTGTTGTCATAATCTTTTGTTTCAACGAGTAGCAAATGTATACAGTAAGTCATAAATTGTGGGAGGTCGCGCAGAGAGTAGTGTATGAAATAAAACCGACCAGAAACGGGAGCGTTGTGATTGTGGACTATTAACAGCTAGTTTTAAAGCTTAAAAGGGCTATTGTACACAATTATCGCACACAATTACATCAGAAAATGGTACATAGGATTAGGTTTACAGGGAATTTCAACGATTAACTTATTCTAACAAGGAATTGAGCGAATACGCAAATGCATTAAAAACTCCGCAAAGCAGATAATCGGTACTGCCAGGCGAACGGTTTATAAAAGACTACAAACGATCCAATAGTATGCACACTATCTATTGAAAGAGCAGATAAACTGTAAACAGAAATTAAGAAACGAATGAAGCAGATTGAAAATTAATACATTGATTATTTAGCGATTACTATTAATTCAACGGATTGAAGTCGTCATGTGTTCAAGGCAGCGCGATCACGATCAAAGTCAACCAAGAATACCTCAGTGCATGACAATTTAATTCTTTTTTATTTCGGACTCCAAAAAAGCTGAATTAATTAGAAATGGTTTGCGAAACAATTTAAAATTGCAGATAAAGACACATTTAGATTACTTGTCCTGATTGTACACATGGAAGTGAAAAATATGGCTAACCAGTTGTAATAATGCACAGGCCCTGATAATATTCTTGGTGAACTTTCAAAATATGCCTGCGATGATTTTTATGATCATTACGCTGAGTTTATCAATGCATGCTTTTGGTGAAGCGATCTTGCCACCACTTCAAAAACCTAAGAAGCCTAAAGGGCCCATACAAAATCTTTGGCCAATCACGTTAAGTAATTCACAGACAGGTATTGTCACTTATCACACTGAAACGTATGGAAGATACCATAGATACATATACTGGACTCTGACACGCAGCATAAGAAAGGCAGAGGTTGGAGGCCGAGCAAGCGACCACGAGAGCGCACGCCCCAGTCCTAGCAAGAAGGCCGAGGTCAGGGAATAAACATACTACCATATCCTGTTGGAATGTTAATGGTTTGTAATGGTGCACTCCATGCGGACCGTTGATGGATGAGGGACATTCGAGGCACTTGAAACAAGGTCGAAGCGGACCGAACCAGGGGGAAGTCCCATCTTTAGGGTATCGGACATATATTTGAGAATATTGTTGTGGCGCCACGTATATTTCCCTTGGTCTAGTGAAGGTTTACAAAAATTAAAAATGTGATGGAGGGTCTCTCGGTTCCCACAGCAAGGGCATTTATCTGAAATCCTTTTCCCCCACCTGGCAGATAGATTTCTAATGGGTGGATTGATCTTCAAGAGACACAAGTTCATAAAACCTTCCCTGGGCCAAGAGAGTTTTGACGTGGTTATCCCAACATTTCTGAACTTCTGTCTTCAGTGTATTTTTTACTTTAGCTATTACTTT